CGAGCTACAGCGGTGAGTTTCTCCCCGAAACACCAGGGACCAGAGACACCCTGGGAGGGGTGTGTGTGGACATCAAACAAGTGACAAGAAGCTTTTTGGACAGGACCCCTGTGGCCCTGAGCATTTTTAGGGTCAGGCTTTGCTATTTTAGTCCCCTCCAAGCATGCCCACACCTAAGAGCACACGTGCAAACACAAGAGCACGGCCAAGCACCCCGTGCGGTGTCATCGAGGCTGTTGGGAGGGCACCCCACACCCCCCTCCTATAGGTTCCACGTGGGATCACCGTGCCCCTAAGACTGGTGGAGGGATTTGTTGGACGTATGGCTGGAAAGAAGGAGGTGGCCTCCCCCCAGGCTGTGGAAATAAACAGAGAGCGGCGCTTGCGTGCTGCCGAATAACGGCGGGGGGAGACGGTTTTTTTCGGCAGGATGCACTCCCCCAGCGAGGCTTGAGACGCAGCCGCCTCCCTCCACTCGGATCTAAAAGGCTAATCCTCTGGGAATAATAGTCGTAAACCTCTTAGCCAGCCGTGCTGTCAGTGCTCGTCGCTGATGAGCTGATTAAATTTGAATGGAAAAGATTAAACTCACCCCCGCCGGGTACCCCGGGATCCTCCCCGGCGGCAGGCGATGGAGAGGGAGATGTTCCTTGGTGGGCTCCGCGGCTTCGCTCTGCCCTGTCCGTCTGTCCAGACCTGGGTGCTCTGTAGCTTGGAGGGATGTTTCGAGCCTTTGTAATGGCCGCAAATCCCCTCCCCACGCCGCACCAGGAGGTCCAGGCAGTAACCGGCCCCTTTGAAGACGGGGAGGATTAATCAGGGTCCAAGCCGCCACCTGGAGCTGGAGAAAACAGTGACAGAAAAATCAGTTACAGGCAAAATTTCCCCGAAGGGACCCCCCGTCCTGGTCCTTGGTCAGCCCCAGGGGACATCCCCAATGTTTTACTTTATTTAAGTGTTTCTATGACAGAGCCATCACTACTCCAGATGTGAGACACTGTGAGCAAACACACCGTGTCAGAGTAAAAAAACATGGGATTGCTTTGGATTTGAGAAATTTCTGCAGCTTCCCCCCCGCTCAGAATTTGGCCAAGTGCTGCTTGGGAAGGGGACCCCAATCTCCCCAGAGTCAAATCCCTGCTCCGGGGAAGCAACGGGAGTGTGTGGAAAGGCATCACGGTAACAGAGTTGATGGGATGGGGAATTTGGTTTAAAAAAGAGGCTTTTTGAGTCGGAGGGAGCTACTGGTGGGATGTGAAATGTCACTTCAGCTCTGCAGCAGCTGCAGGGTGGCTTTGGAAAGCCCAGTCCTACCTGCGAGGCTGCCCGCGGCCGCTCTTGCCCTGGTGAAGAAGAGACACCAAGCCAGAGCTCAAGCTGTGTGCACGCCTGCTTGCTCGTGCCTCAGGTTTTCCACTTATTCCTCCAGTGATTCTCCTTCAGCATTGCTGGGGGCTCTTCTCTAGGTCTTGTCTGTGACCTGCAGTTGCTTCTGCTGCCAGAAATAAATAGGAATTATATTAGAGGAGCCTGCTGCATACTGGAAGTGTGGATCAAAGCATGTGGGGGTCTCCTGCTGACCCCCTTGCAGAGGGGTATTTGGGATTTAACCCCATTTTGGGGGCAATCCCACCCTGGCTGGGTGTAGGGTCCCTCTCTGCCGTGGTTGTCACCCCTTTGGGATCCCTTTTCTTCAGGGTTTCACTGAATTTACTGGTTGGCCTTGGAGTAGGGTCCCACTGCTGGGCTCAGCAGGGCAGAGCTCCTCCTACAGTGACCCAGGGAGGTGACATCACCTGCCAACCACCAAGCCGTGTTAATATTTAGTCAGTCCCTCCACAGAGCTGCATTAATTACCTGCCCGAGCTGCATTAATTACCCATCCGAGCAGGCTGGGCAGAGCGAAGAGGAGATGCCTGTGGGGAAATGTGGGGCAGAAAGAGTCGGGGCTGGGGCTGCGACCCAGAGACCGCCAGCTCCACCCTGGCCCCATGTCCCCCCTGCAGCCCCCGTGGGGTACGTACAGTAAATCCATACATTGCTACACCTGTACGTTACGCGGCGCGTCTGTCTGATCCGTAAGCTCCCGCCACAGGGGAATACTCTGAACCCCAAAATCCAATGTGCCCCAACATCTGTCCCTTCCTCCACAAAACCGGTGCGTTCCACATGGCTTATTTTCTCAGCTGTGTTTTAAGGCACCGATTTTGGGGTGGTTTTGGGGTGCTGCCTGGGAATGGGAAGATTTGGGGGGCTGTGTGGGAGCAGGCAGAGATCTGGGGTGCTGTCATTGGCATGGCAGAGGGAAGTAGCAGTTTCTTGTGAGCCCCCACTGCTAGCCGGCACCCCACTTTTGTTTGCCCATGAGAAGCCCCCCCCTAACTCCTCGCAGGGGGTCAGAGCCCATCGGGGGTGTCAGACCCAGATGGAGGTTACTGGGGGGTTCATATAGGTTAATGTACATAACTACCTAGATATATATATATATGCCCTGACGACCCCAAACCACCCCCCCGGGTCCCAGGGACCCCCCC